AAGTCGGTAAGAGAAGTAAATAAACTGAAGGGAACGTATGTCTTTTTGTATGGTACTTGTACCTCAATCGATGCCGCAAGTGTAAAACCTTAGCTCAGTTTCAAACTGACAGTGAATGACGTGTGGGCTATGTGAAGTGAAGGAATGTCACGTGTCGTCGTTCATTCAGCTCCCATAATATCTCTTCATTCGAGTCCAATGAAATTCTTCAACACCTTCGTATCGGTCACCAGTGTTCTACCGCTCATTGTCGAGGCCAACAAGAACACTCTTTTCGAGTACTTAATGTGCGAGCAAAACCCTGAAGAGGGCGGTTTTGTCAAGAGACAATTTGAGGACGAGATCCTGTGTTGGAGTAAAACAACTGAACTCGGTCGACAGGTGATTTCGAAAGTCATCATGTTTATAACCTAATTTGTATCTCATTCAGATGCACCTCATATCTGGCTTCGAGTCTATGATTCAAGAGCGTCCCTCTATAGAATCTTACGCTGTTCAAAGGGTCAAAGGCAGTTTTATGCATACAACCCGACCCAGCACCTTTACCCTTAAGAACAGTTTTACTTATCGTGAACACCTTTGGCCCACCGGACCCCACACGCTCACGCAAGATAGAGAGAGGGATTTAGTGAAGGTCGTTCTAGTTGACGAGAATCCACCATCTGAACTAAGCCTTGATCTCACTCGAGTTCAACCACTTTTGCCTGAAGACAAGTCGGTTCGGAATGTATCGTTATATGGTGATACTGATAAAACAATTAAAGTCCTACTGAGAGACCCACGTGAAGGAGATAAGAAGGTCTTCCTCTTGGCTAGAGAAAGATCACATGGTTCGACACACCATGTAGAACTGGAGGTTGATGGTTATCTATTGACCAGCCCTGTTGGCAACTTTAAAGGAACCTTCTACATCTTGAGAATTGAAGAGAGGGAATATGTTATCCTACTAGCACAGTTTTCGGATAGAGGCGAGAAGCGTATTAAACTTTTTTGAGTGCAATAGACATAATCTAATCTATCTATTCATGTGATGATGTTATTGAGTATGTTCAAGTAGTCTTCATTCATATATTCCATGTGAATTCCCTGTGATGTGATATTGCTGAAGATGTTCTTGTGTCGGCAAGTGGGAGTCAACTTAACCTCCTTCGT